GATCCCTATCCCCCAGGTACAAGCTGCTCTTCCTGGTACCCATAGGCTGGAGGGAGAACAGGAAGGCCCAGCTCTATATGTTGGGGGGGAACAGGAAGAGCTGCACAGAAAGGCTGGGGAGCAGCAGCAGCTGTGCAGCAATACATGGGTTTGTTTTCCCCGGCCAACACCCGAGAGTTCCCCGCTCAGTGCCTCTATCAAAGGTATGTCAGGGGGTGACTCTCCCTGGCCCATCCCGGCCCCCTGTGAGCGCTCACCTGCTCCATGTAGAGCAGCACGTGGTTGGTGCTCAGTTCTGTGCGGTGGATGTGGTTATGTCCTTCCAGCTGCCAGCGGTAAAGAGAGAGAAGCAGGATGTAACTGAGCCCCCTTCGAACCACCCCAGAGCCCTAAGGAATGGGATGCTGAAGCAATCTCACAACTCTTAGCAATTATCTTTGAGATCTCTTGGAGGACGGGTGATTTCCCAGGGGATTGGAGGCAGGCAAACAGAGTATCTATCTTAAAAATGGGAACAAATTGGACCCAGGAATTCATAGACCAGTCAGCCTAACATTCATACCCAGAAAGATAGCAGAAGAAATTATTAAACAGTCAACTTGTAACAGGATTACAAGATAAAGCCAGCATGGATTTGTCAAGAACAAATCATGCCAAACCAACCTCAGTTTCTTCTTTGAGAGGGTTATGGGACCAGTGGACAGTGGGGGCGGGGAGGGAGAGGAAGCTTCTGACACAGTCCCACATGACATTCTCACAAGAAAATCAGGGAAATGTGGTCTAAATGAAATTATTATAAGATGGATGCACAAGTGGTTGAAAGACTGTACTAAAAGGGCAGTCATCCACGGTTTGCTGTTAAACTGCTAGGGTGTATCTAGTGGGATCCTGCAGGGGTCAGTCCTGGGTCTGGTACTATTCAACATGATCATTAATCACTTGGATAATAGAGTGGAGAGCATGCTTCTAAAATCTGTGGATGACACCAGCTGGGCGGGGCTGTAAGCACTTTGGACAGGATTAGAATTTAAAACGACCTTGCCAAATTAGAGAATTGGTCCGAAACCAACAAGATGAAATTCAATAAAGACAAATACAAAATACTACACTGGGGAAGGACAAATTAAATGCACAACTCTAAAATGAGGCATAACTGGCTAGGGGGTAGTACTGCTGAAAAGGATCTGTGGGTTATAGAGGATCACAAATTTAATATAAGTCAGCAATGTGATGCAGTTGTGAAAAAGGCTAATATCATTCTGGGGCATATTAACAGGACTGTCATATGTAAGACATGGTATGTAATTATACCACTCTACTTGGCATTGGTGAGGCCTCAGCTGGAGTACTGTGTCCACTTCTGGGCACCACACTTTAGCAAAGATGTGGATAAATTGGAGAGAGTCCAGGGAACAGCAACAAAAATGATTAAAAATGTAGAAGATCTGACCTATGTGGAAAGGTTAAAAACTCTGGGCATGTTTAGTCTTGAGAGAAGAAGGCTGAGGGGGAACCTGATAACATATTTGAATATCCTTAAGGTTTGTTATAAAGAGGATGGTGATCAATTGTTCTCCACGTCCACTGAAGGTAAGACAAGAAGTAATGGGCTTAATTTGCAGCAAGGGAGAGTTAGAAAATTTTTCCTAAATCTAACCTAACTGTAATGGTAATTAAGCACTGGCACAGGCTTCTAAGGGAGGCTGTGATTTCCCATCCCTGGACATTTTTAAGGACAGGTTAGACAGACACCTATCAGGGATAAGCTAGGTTTACGTGGTCCTGCTTCCTCACAGGCAGCTGAACTTGATGACCTCTTGTGGTCCCTCCCATTCCTACAGGAGAGTCCTGTGTGGGACTATTTTTTAATCCCGCTCCCGCTATTACGGCAACGGGTCCTGCGGGATCCCAATCCCATTGCAGAGCTCTACACTAGTCCCACACAGGGCTCTATCCTATAGCTCTGTGATTCTTGGCTGGTGCCATAGACACTGACTCTGTGGGTGCTCTGGGGCTGGAGAACCCATGGAAAAAAATAGTGGGTGCTCAGCACCCAATGGTGGCCCACTGATCAGCTCCTCCCCTTCCCCCCCCCAGCGCCTCCCACCCATCGGTGGTCAGCTGTTCAGTGGTGTGCAGGAGGCTCGGGGGCGGGGGGAGGGAGAGAAGCAGGGGCAGGAAGAGGCAGAACGAGGGCAGGGTGGGCTCGGGGGAGGGGGTGGAACGGGGTGGGAAGAGGCAGGGCGGCGGCAGTCCTTGGGGGAAGGTGGCAAGTGTAGGCAGGGCCTGGGGCACAGCAGGGGTCAAGCACTCTCAGGGAAACCAGAAAGTCGGTGCCTCTGGCTGCTGCTTTAAAGGAAGAGGCAAAATCTGTACTGTGGCCCCATGGGCAGTGCATAATGCAGGCTGGGAGAGGCTAAGCATCCCCAAACCTCCGCTAATGCGCCCAGCCGTGGCCCCAGGGCTGGGCTGCAGCAGGGCTCCGAGCTCCTCCAGAGCTGGGAATTAGGGCTGCTTCGCCAGGCCAGCTGGAGTTCCTCTGATTGTGGTGGGGGGCTCAGGGCTCCTCTGGCCCCAGTGGGTGAGAGTATGGGGGTGGGGCCTCAGGCAGAAGGATCAGGGGAGGGGTGGGGCCTTGGGTGGAAGGGGCAGAGCGGGGGCTAGCCTCTTCGAATGGGGGTTTCATGCCCCGCCTATGTATGGCCCCACCCAGCTGGTGGACTGAGATATGAAGTATCACGGTTTGAGACCTGTGGGGCTAGGCCACAATCAAGTGCAGCCTCAACTCATTGTCTGACCCATCTCCTGAGGGGAGGGCTGTGGCTGTGGGCAGGGCTGGGCTCTGAGCACTGCCTCCCCCTGTGCTGCTCACAGGCTTCATTAGTCTGATGGCATCACACCTCAGGACCCCTCAAGGGACACCTCCCAGCATCTGAGTCTCCCTGACGAGATGCAGGGCCCAGGGTGGGCTCAGGAGTGTGTGTGTGTGTGGGGGAGGGAGGGGTGGTGTTAGAGCTGGGGGAGAACAGAGGGATGCAGGGAGGTGGGGGCTCATCATTCTCTCTCCCAAGCACCCCGCGAGCCCAGCCTGATTTCCCCTTACAGGAGCACTGCCCCCTCCAGGGGAGACTGTGAGGTGCCTCCAGCTGGGCCTGCTCCCCCTGTGTGTAACAGTTTATCAGGGAGTCACTGAGTGGGAGCTCAGGGGGATGGGATGGGACGGGGAAAGAGTGGGGAATCAGGGGAGGGTCAAAAAGAAGATATGAGGTCAGAGAGACGGGAGACAAGCGGGGGTCTGATGCTGGACAAGGGACTAGGGAGGTGCCAGGTTGCACTGGTAAAACGAGGGGTTGGGGTTTGGAGCTGGCCAGG